GTATTTCTGACAAGGTCATTATTTCGACCATAAACTTTCGAACTTTAACTACCTTAATGTATCCTCGAAACTGCAATTTTTTTTTAATCCACGAAAATTGATACGCACAAATATTAATGAAACCACAGTGTGATCTGTTGGGATGGATCTAAATCACGAGGTCTATTAATGTTCTGTTGAGGCGGAATTACAATTTTTAAAGTGTTATTTTCCCTCTCGGTTGGATTTCCTTCTCCATCAGATTCCAATGCTTTAACAATTATACACGATAAAACAAAACCAACAATGTTAGAGATACACATAATGATAGAGAGTATAAATGCTACAATCTCCCACTTCAGGTTTCCCACAACACCACACGTGCAATCCTCATCGCCGGTACAAATCAGTATGATCCAGAAGATGGGGACACAACAGATTCCTGTAGCTATAACATTTGTTCCTAAGCTCAGTCCGTTTATCACTCTGTAAATAGTTACCTGTTCAAAAGAAAATACTAGTATGCATATCATAATTGATATAGCCATTCGTAAAATTATAAGGTATTGGAGTTTTATTTTAAAGAAAGATTTCTCTCACAAGTAAAGGATAACATGAAAGAATGATGACACAAAAGGAAACTGTGAATGAACATAGAATAAAATTAAGTTACTTACTCTCTTGATAAAGCTTGAAGATGGTAGATTTCTATTATTAATATCCATCTTAGAGACAAAATAACAAGATATACCACTGAGCAAGAGCTACAATTAAAATAAAAAAAAAGAATCTTTAACACACTTCCAGGAACAAGACCAGGAATTCATTTATTGTAGATAAAACTTTATGATACAATTGCATGGCAAATTATATTATATTATTAATTTATTATCATTATCGCTATTATCTCCATATATTTCATATTACCATATTATACTTTATTACAATGTATATTAATTAAAATATTACCACTGCTCCCGACCATATAAGAGCGCCTTTGGCCACTGAGAAACTAAAAAATCGGTCTAAAGAGACAATTCCAAAGACGATGCTACCTGCTGAAATTCCTATCAAAACAATAGACATCCTGAAGAAATGTTCTGCAGCTTTTTGTCGTTTGTGTGCAAGTTCAACTGAATAAAAGAAAGATCTTTTAATCAACAGAAACACTTCAAATCTCTGTTTTAATTATCTTGATGGGAGAGAAATGATTTTCTTTCATTATGAAAGGAATTTCATGTCAAATCTTTCATTCTAGTTAAATTTAAAATCTGTTAAATTTGTCACATTGGGGTGCCTTTTTGCCTGGCACCTGATCCTACCTCTGATCTAAGAAATCCATATTGGCTCTGCTAAAGTTTGTGTTGATTAAGTGAGCTTTTGAGATTGATCAATGTTCCTTAATTATCTTCACATTATTACATTTTTAGTTCTTACCAGATGACTGTTGGATCTCACTTTCGTTTTGTGCTGTGTTCACCATTTTTGCGCTGACACGATCGAATCTTGTGGCTCAATATATTTATCAAGCGTTACCAAAACCTTATTGAGTAATACTGCGCAGTTTAAAACATTTTCAATGAATGATTGACAGTGTAGTTCTGTAAACATTTAAATCATACGAATAGAGGTGAAGAACGAAGGTTTTTCATAAACTGGTAATAATGGTGGTTTTGACATTTTAAATAATTTTGCAATTCAGTATACTGAAATTTTTGTTATAAAAAATCAATGGCAAAATGATTGCTGAAACAAAGTATCGTGGATACAAAATAAGAGTTGATAGGCAAGAATATTTCTCAGTGAATATTTGAAATATATGCAAGTCATTTTATTCAAAACTTGCATAATAGGTTTTCAGGCAGTTTGTACAATTTTGGAAATTCTTGAAGACGGAAAAGACATCTTGAAGACGGAAAAAACATATGAGAAAACGTATTTTTAGAGTGTTTTGAGTAAATGAATTTGATAGATCATAAAAGAATTAAAGGACATGGAGGAGGATTATTCTTGGAATGGGACGTCATTAACTTGGTACACTTGTACATTTTCAAGTTTTAAGCAGAAAAGACTTGAGATGACTCATTTCTGTGGTTATTTTCTTTTCGGAAATAGTATTGTGTAAAATGCCTTGAAAAATGACAAGTCTCAAAATCTTTGTGGGCGATGCAAGTCCTACATATTTTGTTTGGAAAGAAAATTCCACTGAAAATTGATGTCTTGTACAGCATTTTAAGAAAATACGGGAAAATGCACAGGTTCTTGACGTCACAATTAGCATTTAGAAGGTCATACAATACAATTTGTTTGATCTTATTACATTAGTTTTCATCTATTCAAAAAGCATTATTTTATATCTTGCAACACTTTCATATTTAAAATATACATGTATTTCATAAGAAACAAGATCTCTTTTAATACCTTGTTCTTTTTAACAAAGTTTAACGATTTTATTGACTAAATATTCCTTTTTCAAATACTCCAAAAAGTAGAGATCTTGTTCTTTCATTTCCTACAGCAAAAATTCCTTTTAGAGTATATGTAGGTCTACCTGAGTATCTTCAGTAAGGAATTTACAAATGTGATCTGAGCACATCCATTGATAAAAATATAATAAAACAAAAATAAGCATGTCATATTTTACAGCAAAAAATTGTGTTATTATATTTATTATATTATTACATATTTTAGATAAGAGTTTGTGATATATTAAAAATAGTGAAAAAATAGGGGTCTTTTAGCTAAAATTTTGGATTGATTGTCAGGATATTGTTCTAATAATTGCATCATTGTTTTAGTCGTGCCGTCAAAATTGGTTATATATGAAGCATTGTCAACTAATTTTTCAGAAGTCTTGATTTCTTAAGTCTAAATAGATCCTTTAAGACTGTAATTGGTTGATGTGAAATATATTTTACTACTGTTTTTCGGAATTCTTTATATTCACATCCTTTATGAAATGTTATTCTTTGTAGCAATGTCTGTGTTCAGTACAACGGTTTCTGTTATGTTCAAAACTCTGTTAAACTGTATGAATATATCATGTGTATGGGAAAGATTTTAAAATTTGAAGAAAAATATTTATTTCTGAAGCATTTGTTAAATGTTGAATACCTCCTCAGGTAGAATAAGTCCTGTAGTTTCATCTAAATACAACAACTGCTTGATTTATTTGTATGCAATGGTTTGAGAATTGTGGTATTCTATAGCTGCTAATAATTGACTGTTTATATATATATATATATATATATATATATATATATATATATATATATATATATATATATATATATATATATATATATATATATATATATATATATATATACCATCATTTATTGTTAAATACTATTCAGTTAAAACATTGTCGTTTTGAGTACAACACACAGAAATACGTTAATTTATGTGTCAACTGCTTTTGTGAATAGTCATTTCAAATAAAATTTTGGATGATTAAAAGTTTTTGTCTTTTATCAGATTACTACTAGTAGTTAAAACAATGAAGGAGTTTCTTCCTTATGCTGTTTAATTTAAGCTACTAGACTTTACACAATTGCTCAAACAAAAGTGAAGTGGACAATCAAAGGTGAATAAAAATAAAACATACTTGTAAGAAAAAGTTCTGGCATATCATCTGCACAGAACTAGACACAGTTGTGGCAGTAGTACTGCTCCTACTGCAGTCTTGGTCCGATTTTAATATAACTTCAATCACAGACTCTCTAAATTGCCAGAACATTCCGAATCATCCTATCATTAATATTTTCTAATCTCAAATCTGTCAATGATAGAAACTTATCTTTGATTTTGGTTAATGCTTTCTTGTACCTGTTGGCTATCTTATGTCATTTTTAAAAAAGTTAATAAAGCTATGTAATTAATCAACTGTGTCAACAAATACATTAATCTATCATAACGTCGAAGGCTGACTTACGTTTTTTCATGCCGATTGTTAGGCTCTTATTTAATCTGAAATGTCTTTTGATATTTTCTCGATCATGACATGACATGGCGGGTGTTACCGGTCGACGAGGGAAACATTCTCCTTCATGGTACCTGATTAAATTAACCTCTGATGTTTTTAGAGAGAGGTTCCCTGTTTACTATATTGTTTTGGTGGACTTGACTGTTTTTGATTTTGATTGCTGTTCCTTATCTACATATTTCAACAGTGAAATGAAATATTTTGTAGTCATATTTGATATATAAGCAAAGGGCTAACAATGATATGAAACATATCAGTCAAAATACAACCCAATGATACAAATGGTTTATCATAATAAATTTACACAAAATAGTTTTTTTCATACGTCAAAAAATACTATTTTTAAGAAATTATAATCTCCAGAACTGCGTTTTTCCGACAATCCTCACAAAGTCATTCGATTTTAAATGAATCAAGTACACTGAGCTATAACTGTTTGAAAATGGTCATGAGGATGCATGAAAAATCTGTGCTGTTATACGAAAAAAAATGATGAATTAGTATGAAAAACGAAGTTTTGATATCTGAAAAGACGATCTTTACAAGCTGTACAGAATACGGATGGAAGAAAAAATTAAAAGGAGTGTTACAAAATTGCTGTTGAACTCTGATATTTTTAGAGGTTGGTGTTTGTTCTGCTTTAATGGGCTTTTGAACTTGATTTGTGTTCGTCTTTTTTTTCATATTTCATTCGATCAAAATCTGTTGGAACATACAAAAATATTGGTGCTGTGAGCAACTTGATATGATCTTCAAATGTTAGAATTACATTGAAATACATTGCTAAAACACTAAACAATTAATCACCACAGTTTTTAAAGTTCTGACAAAGGAAATATGAATTTAAAAATATTTTTACTTCAGACAGGTGCCTCATTACCTTATAAATGTTTAAGACAAAACACGGGTTCTAATTGTCTATTGAAAATATACACATGTACATTACTGAGAAGGTATAACAAACTTGATGTGTATCAGAACGTAAAACAGAAAATAAATTGTAAAAAAATGAATTAGTGAGAAATCTGTCTTCATCTTATTATTGCAAAGAAAAGTCAGAGCTCCAAACATATTTTAAATAGATTTCCCTTTTAGTGAAAGGTTTGATTTTCATAAACCTTCACCCGAAGGAAGGACGATCAACAGTATTTCACTGAGGTTTCAGCATTTTTTCCGTGTGAAAGAAAAAAAAAAACGGTTCCCGGATTTATTTCCCTTTGTCTGACAACGCCGCTGCAAATAATTATAATGATGTTTTCTCGTAATTGAAATTTTGAGGAAAAATTACAGAGCTTATTCGTCCTTCGTATTCTCTATATATCTACAGTGTATTTTTATTCTGAAAACTCAAGAAACAATCAAAGAAATTAAGACTTTAAAGTTAAGGTTTATCATGGAGACCACTATTCATCATTATTTTCTGAGCACCCCTTAAATAGAATGATGAAGTATTCATATCACATACACAAAGACGTCAGAATTTTTATATTTTAACAGGGATAACTCTCATCAGAAGGACCGGTCTCCACGTCCCACAGTGGGATTCGAACCCGCGACGCATGGGTCAACTCCTTATTTCGCGATTCTAGAGCACACAGTCTGCATGATCTGTTCAATAGTTGAATATTTAACTGTCTATAAATGCTTGTGGAATACTGATAAATAAACTTGAAGAAAAACTAGTTAAATTTAGTATTTACATCGTCAACTTCCCCATTTTGCATACATAATTATGGAGTTATGTACCGTGATCACTACATAATTTATATTGTTTATGTTTATCATTTATAAACTGATTTGTTGTACAAGAGCATGTTCTTGTTTTGAGAAGTTTTTAGAGGCACAAGCACGGAAAACATAAGTTGATGTTAAACGACTTTCGTCATGTTGTAAGTCAAGGATTTCAAGAATTGTCGAAACCTTGTATCATGAATTTATTTATCATTAGCCTGCTCTGTTTATGAAACTGTTATTATGTAGAGCATGTTCTTGTGTATGGAATCAAGACAAAATAACCCCATATGAAGGTGGACATAGTGTATAAAATTTACAATACAATCGTGAATTGACTGATTTTGTTGAATTATGTCTTTGTTGAAAAGGTATAAACTGTCTTTTTGGTGTACTTTAACTTTTTTGACTTGCGCGTTGATAAACCACTGAAACAGAAGGAACGGTTAACAGAACATAAGTTAATAAGAAATCAATTAATTTCAATCTACACATTTAGCCCTTTATTCCAGATCATTCATTTCACATGAGTTTAAATCCAGAGAAACTTATTCGGGCAAATTCGTTGCTCGGTAGGTATGATCCACCATACCTCACTCCAACTCTGGTGTTTATTACATCGCCTTTCTTCAAATTCAGTATTGTCAGTGTAGAAGCTGAGGCTGCATCATCGTGATTTCCCGAGTCAGCATATGCAACGTCTTTAACGACTCCATTTTTTACTAATTCTATAACACTGCATGATCTATTGTAAGAAAAAGTAGTTGTGTGTATGACGTATACCCCTCTCTCTGGAGCTGTGAACTTTCC